CTGCCTCCATCAGGGTGAGGGAAATGCTCATTGACGGTCAATGTAACCAGCCTGTTGTACTTAATTTCTAGTTTTGCTTATTTCCCGTAAACTGCTTCGCTCTCTTAGATAGCCTTTATAGTCACTTAAATTAACCGTTCTTAATTAATGAACTCATTTCCAGAGTAATCCAGTGCTCTAAAGTGAAGAGTCTGGGGGAAAAATTGCAGCTTCTTTAGTAGATGATCACTTATTCCTCTCCACAGTTAGAGAGGGGATACTCGGCAATTCACTCAAAGTGATCAGCAATTTCACCAGAGCAGGGTTGTACAGCTCCGGGGTCCTAGACTTGGGAAATCATCTATGTTTAACAGTACAGATATCCACCTCCTCCTTTCCCATCCTACCCAGCATATTCCCTGACACCAGCGTTCCCTTTACTTTATTGTTTTTCCATCTCTGTGTGGAGTGAATTTTCTTGAATGCGCCCATACTGAGGTACTGTGTAGATATATGCCCCCAGGAGAAAAACAGCCCTGTCTATAGTATCCATATTTGTCTGGATATTAACACAGAGATTCATACTCCAGCCAAGACTGGCTCAGCATTTCAGAACTCACTCCCTAGAGAATTCCAATTGAGCATGAGCAGGCAGTAAAATTGTGAAATGCCCAGAGCAGTCCATAAGTGATAACAGCTGTTTGAAAGCATAAAATTAAAGGGAATGCATGTGTGTGTTAGGAAGTAAAAGCAACCACACATGAAAGTGTTGGGGGTGAATGTGAAAGAGACAGAAAAAGTCACTATTTGTATGTGTGTGAGGGAGAGACAATGTGTGTGTGGGAAAAGTATATGTGAGAGTGCAAAAAACCAGGGTGTGTGCTTGTATGAGAGACACCGCAAGAGTGTGTTTGTGCGTGACACAGAGAGACACGAAGAATGTGTGTGTGTGTGTGTGTGCGTGTCTCTGTGTGCTGATTGCTAAAGAAGTGTTTGAGAAACAGGGTCTTTAACATACAGCATGAAGTTCAGAGCAGAGCACCTGAGTTCTCTGGCTCCTGACCGCTGGCCTCTCTCCCATGCTTTGCAGACATGGGACATATGGGCAGGGGGAAGGAGAAGAAGAGGAAACTCCAATTTCAGGGCTGGTGTTAGAGGCAACAGGAGGTAATGCCCCCCTGGGTCTTAGTGCCCAACCCTTCTTCTCTTCATATCTCTGTTCTGACCCTGCGGGCTCCCACCACAGGCTGGATTTTTCCCTCTGAGTGGATCTATTATACTAAAAGTGAAAAACATTTTTCAGCTTGACCCACCTATTAGCATAACACTGAGTCATTAAATGCTAAGGAAGCCATTTAACAGGCATGTCACAACTTGAAACTACCTACTGCCAGGATCTGAATTTACTGGCAAAAACAGTATAAATTGAGCACTGTGCATTAGAGTAATACATGTGTCTGCTAGACCTTATTTTAAACATTGGCTTTGTTTGTGGCTGAAGATGATAAAATCACATCTCTGAAAACTCCTTGGCTACGTCTAGACTGGCATGATTTTCCGGAAATGCTTTTAATGGAAAAGTTTTCTGTTAAAAGCATTTTCAGAACAGAGCGCCCATGCCAATCTAGACGTGCTTTTCTGCAAAAAAAGCCCCGATCGCCATTTTTCACGATCGAGGCTTTTTGGCGCAAAATAAATCTCAGCTGTTTATACTGGCCCTTTTGCGCAAAAGTTCTGTGCAAAAGGGACTTTTGCCCGAACAGGAGCAGCATAATATTTCCGCAATAAGCACTGATTTCTTACAGTAGGAAGTCAGTGCTTTTGCAGAAATTCAAGCGGCCAGTGTAGACAGCTGGCAAGTTTTTCCGGAAAAGCGGCTGCCTGGCCAGTCTAGACACAGCCCTTATGTAGATATTTAGGGGCACAATCCTCTTTATCCTTACATGCTTGGCTCTTCAGACATGTCATTCTTTAAATTATTCTAAAATAACCAGCTTTATCTCAAATATACATTTGTCTGCCCCCCTAGAGATGGTGCTTACTGAGCATAACGAGCAGCCACAACCCTAATCTCGTATCTGACTGTTATTTCTCATAGTACAAATATTTGCTCCCGAAGTCTCCCTGCCCTTTCTGTCTATCCCTGCTCTCGTCCTTCCACAGGAGGGATAACTTAATGGGCCCTCTGTGTTGGTTTTCTAGATTTCAGTGTGTCTGATACACATTTATGTGGCACCAATGCCCACATACCATTGCCACTGCTGGTGTAGATCTCATGTCTGTGGGCACAAAAGACATCTGTGGAAGAAGAGGTTTACAGATAAGATACTTTGGAAGTGTAGAGAGGAAAATCAAGACAGGCCCATTGTCAGTGACACTTCTGCTTTAGTAGCAGGGACGTTCTACTTCTATGTAAACAGATCTGTTCATAGAATGCTCATAAAATTTGGAAGAATAAACTGCCACCATCTCTCAAATTTTGTCTCCTGTCTCTACATCTCTCCCATTTTGCATTGTTTGCCAGACACTTTCTCCCTTCTGGATGAAAAAACTACATACATTCTTTTTTTCTTTTTTCTTTCTCTTATATTTCTTTATATGGGTTTGGTTTCGGATCACATTTCTGCCTCTGTAAATCCACATAACCCTGATTCAATTTCTACCTGCAATTTTCCTAGACCAGTGTTGCAGGCTCTATATGATGTTTTTTCTCTGTCCTTGTTTCTCAGCTGCATCTTTCAAATCGTCCAATTAATTTTATTTTCATCTGCTGTGATAGCGGATAGCTGGACAGACCTTCAGCAAACTGTGGCCTCCTTGATATTTTGGTTTTTGTCTTATTTGGTATATCTGTGCTCAACCTCGAAAAGGGTCATTCCCTGCTCTCTTAAAGCTACACACAGAACCTTTGACTGAGCCTTGTGTTAAATACAGTGTAACTTCGCAGCACAGCCTAACTGCCCCACTCAATTCCATCTGAGTTCCAAAGTACGTACACAGGTGTGTGTCCCAAACCATTGGCTCTGCTGCTCTGTACTCACTGCTAATTTTACCTTGCTTGTTTGATCAAAGCTCATGCATGTTACCCCGGCAGAGAATGACACCTCCCAGCTGCAGGTATACTCATGGTAAAACTTTAAATATCCTTCCTTTCTATTGACTTTTGTTGTGTCCTGGACATTGGCTGAAATGACACTGTCATGATGAAGATACTCCAGAATCTCAACCTAAAAGACTTTGTTTGTGAACTCATGTATGTAACCAGTCAGACATGACTGCCCCGCGCTGGCGTCTAGCTGACTAGACATACTTCTCTCCTTTCCCTTTTCCCCTTCACCCTACTTCTATTAGGCTACATCAACAATACAAGATTATTTTGAAAGACAGTATCTAGACTAAAACAAAAAACAGGACTATGTAGCACTTTAAAGACTAACAAGATGGTTTATTAGATGATGAGCTTTCGTGGGCCAGACCCACTTCCTCAGATCAAAGAGTGGAAGAAAATAGTCACAACCATATATACCAAAGGATACAATTAAAAAAAATGAACACATATGAAAAGGACAAATCACATTACAGAACAGAAGGGG